AAGGGCTGCTTATGCACAGGGAGACAGCTCAGGGCGCAGGAGAGTATGGAGGGATGGACACTGGTAAGAGGTAACTATGAGGAGCTATTGCATTGTGGTAAATTGTGGTCAATGCCATGTGACAAAGTATATGTGAACTGCTGTATGGAAAGTGAATTTGGTCTGTAAATCTTCACCCAAATCAAAATAAATAAATAAATAATTTTTAAAAAAAAAATTAAATAAATTAAAAAAAGGAAAAAAATAAATTATTTAATACTTATAAAGCTGCAAAACACTTTTTTTCTTTTAAGGAAAGGCAGAGGAGGAAAATAATCATTTTAAAGATTTAGAGCAGATTAGGGTTAGTAGAACTTGGATTAGAATCCTCAAGTTTCCATTTAAGGAAATAATCATAGAATCTGTGGAGATCTGGACACTGAGCCTTTTTCCACTAACACAGTTTAAGAAGAGGTCACCGAGTGTCTTTGGTGCCAGCACTGGGAGGCGTTGGAAGGAAAGTAGAAATCCCTTCTTTTCAAGGAGTTTATAGTGTTAGAATAACCTAAGTAGTTGCAAAAACAGAACAGCCAGATTAAGATCTATTGCTTAAAGTGTCACATAAGAGGTCAGATTTTAATGATACTGACTAACAGTACATCTGTTAACATTTTATTATATTTTCATGGAAGCAAGATAGTTTAAGGGTTAATTTGGGATTTAGTGGCCAGATAGCTTGGGCTTGAATTCTAACTTTTCTGTTTTCTAGCGGTGTAATTTTGGGTACCTAACTCATTTATTGTGCCTCAATTCTACATTTCTGTAAAATTAGAACATTAATAGTACCTATGCATTACATCATTATGAGATTTAAGTAACTGAGATTCTTAGCATCATATACGATATAGTATGTAATCAAAAGGAGCTCTGGTGGCATAGTGCCTAAGGCATTTGACTGCTAACCAGAAGGCTGGTGGTTCAAACCCACCAGCCACTCCATGGAAGGAAGGTTGGGAAGTCTACGTCTGTAGTGATACTGCCTCGGATACCCAAGGAGGGGTTGCTGTGAGTCACATCTGACTTGATGGCAGTGGGTTTGGTTTGTTTGGTTTTATGTAATCAAAGAAGGATAACTGCTATTTTTATTATTAATCATAGGATCTTGGACTAACTTGAGACAGAATCAAATAATAAAAAGTAAAATACCATTTGTAGTTATTTAACGCAAACTTAATTTTCTTTATTTTTGACTTAAAATAGGCTAATGTATACCATGCTAGCACAATGAATGGAGAGAACAGAGCAATCAAAATTTATAAAACTTCTATTTTGGTGTTCAAAGATCGGGATAAGTATGTAAGTGGGGAATTCAGGTGAGCTAAGATGTTTTTCCAGTTGGTTTAATTACTGTTGCCTAAAAAATTGAAATGGGATAATGGAATGGTTGAAATGACAAATATTTTTCTTCAAGATTTCGTCATGGCTACTGTAAAGGAAACCCCAGAAAAATGGTGAAAACTTGGGCAGAAAAAGAAATGAGGAACTTAATCAGGTGATTGTCTGGTGTGTTATGTATCTGTGCTGTGCCTGCATTTTAATTTTGGGTCTTTCTTTCCTGCAGACCCCAGGGTAGTGCTGTCCAAATGTGAGACACACTAGGGCCAATCAATTCCATTAGATTTGCTGCTGTATGCAGAAGAAACACACTTGTGAACACATAGAACTTGCTTTGTCTTCTCCGTTTTTAGAAGCCATTACCAAAGAATTCTGTCATGATCCATGTTTATTTAGTAAGACGAGCTCATTTGAAAAGTCTTATAATCTGTGTTACAACTTGGAATTTTTACTGAGTAGTGAGGAACTCTTACAGGATTTTAAGCAGGGAAATAACAGTCAGTTGGTGTTGATGTGTGACTTTTTGTTTTTGAATATGTCAATTTTTAATGTTGTCAAGTTCTGGACAGATTTTGCTAGGTCTGGCGGTTCAAACCCACCAGCCACTCCCCAGAAGGAAGATGGGGCAATCTACTTCCGTAGTGATACTGTCCTGGAAACCCAAGGAGGGGTCGCTATGGGTCGGGTCTGACTCAATGGCACATAACAACAACAACAATTTTTTTGTTTATTATAGTTTGCTTTTTGGATTTCAGCCCAGTTTTGGACACATGTTCTTTGTTCCCTCTAACACTTTTATATCAGATAGAAACCTCTGAACCTAGCTGAAATAAAGTTTCCTCAGATTTTTTGAAGCTTTTTTTCCTTTCCAGTGTCTTAACTTTTTAAACGTTGTACACATGATTGTTGTTGTTGTTGTTACATGCTGTCGAGTCGGACTGACTCATAGCGACCCCTTCTTGGGTTTCTGAGGTAGTATCACTATGGAAGTAGATTGCTCAACCTTCCTTCTGAGGAGTGGCTGGTGAGTTTGAACTGCCAGTGTTCTGGTTAGCAGTCAAGTGCCTTAGGCACTAGGCTACCAGAGCTCCTACACATTGAGTATTTTGGTATAGATCAAATACTACTTAGTTTGAAACTTTTGTGATTTCAAACTATTTTCTGAAATCTTTTTGTGATCAACTCTTTATTAGGTATGAGTCTTAACTGATCAACTCTTAAGACGTATCTGCTGTATTTCATTGATTAAAGATGCACAGTTTAACATCTTTAGAATTGAATTGTCTATTATAGGCTATAGAATGAAATAGTTTAATTTCTCATGTTTTGTCATTCTTGGTGGTACATAATGGTACTCTGTAAAATCACTAATATCTTAAAGTTAAGAAATATGATAAAGCAATGAGAAGCCTTGATGTTGTTTCCTAACAGCAATGTTAATCTTGTGTACTAAGCTGTTGTAATTTGTTTTAGATGCTGTTTCAACTTCTTAGTTGTCCTTTTATCTGTTTTGACAGGCTAAACACTGCACGGGTACCATGCCCAGAACCTATAATGCTAAGAAGTCATGTTCTTATCATGGGTTTCATTGGAAAAGATGACATGTAAGTATATGGAAGACCTAAGAATGCTATGTTTGAAACTGTATTTTTTAGTACCTTGAATTTTCCAAAATATTAACTAACATTTCCTACTCAGATAGTCCTTTCTTCTTAGAAATATTTTTGGTGAATTTTCCCACTTTCTTCATGCATAAACATTACCAATTTATTCTGCCCTTTTTGGTCACAAAATACTTGAGAATAACGAAATTAAACATGGTTTTGAGGAATGGATATATGGTGAACTGGCAAAGCATGTGTTTTTGACATCCTTCTAGAATGATTTGTCTGTAGTGAGACAAATTTCCCTAGGTATAGTTCACATTATGAGTTGCAGAAAAGAAGTGCATGCATCAATGGTAGTACAGAGCGAGAAAACTTGTTCTGGGTCAATTTATATTAACTTATTCATTTTAATTTTATTCAAGGCCTGCACCTCTCTTGAAAAATGTTCAGTTATCAGAATCCAAGGCTCGGGAATTGTACTTACAGGTCATTCAGTACATGAGAAAAATGTATCAGGATGCTCGACTTGTCCACGCGGATCTCAGTGAATTTAATATGTTGTAAGTATGTGCTGTCCCTCAGGAACCTCCAATAGTCATTTTGTGCTCTTTAACAATGTAAACAAAATCACAGTCTAAAAAGTCATGCTAATTCTTTGATACTGGTTTCCACATGATGACAGTATTAGATGTGGTCTCTGCCTTCAGTAACCTTCATCACAGAAATGGCCACTTTGATCATTTGGACTTGGAAATTTTCTCAATTTTCATCTTGTTAGTCAAGGTAACCTCTTCTCATTAACACTGACTAATTTCCTATAGCCCCCTCATTCTCATGTCTGATCCATAAGGTACCATAATGGAGATGTGTACATCATTGATGTTTCTCAATCTGTGGAGCATGACCACCCACATGCCTTGGAATTCTTGAGAAAAGACTGTGCCAATGTCAGTGGTGAGTAGTAACTGGAATTTTCTAACAACGTGTTTGTATATGTTGGTTCTGTACTCAGTTAAGCTGTTGGTCGAAAACCTTGGCAGTAAATCCTTAGGTGTGGTGATACTGTTTGATGGGCAGTGGTATATTTTTATTTCTCTTAAAGTAGTTGAAGTAATAACCATTTCTCTCATAAAAGAATTATTAACATATTTCCCTCTGACAGATTTTTTTTTGAAGCACAATGTTGCTGTGATGACTGTGCGGGAACTCTTTGAATTCGTCACAGATCCATCAATTACACATGAGAACATGGATGCTTATCTCTCAAAGGTTAGATGGGGATGGCTAGAGAGGGCAAGAACAGAAAATAACAGTAGTAATTTGTATTTATATTGTACTTCTGAGGAATTCAAATAACAGCATGAATTTTATTCATTTTGACTGCTTCCTAAGACTTTTCCTTCTCATTTCACAGGTGGGAAATCAAAAATATGGTAAAATAGCCTGTGGTAAAGGCAGATTTCTTGACTTTAGTCATCTGGCAGTATTACATAGACTATCAAAGTTTGTGAATATTTTTAAGGAATCTGTTAGCTTTTTGGTCATTAATTCCTTTCCCTGGTTTCTCAAAGACCTGTCTGAATCATAGATTTACAACCATATGACAACTATGCTCCTAGAGGTTTTCCAGTTTTTCATACCTTTTAATGTTCTTCCTTTCCCTGCAGTGCCTGCCCATTTCTACCTTTGTTCAGTTTTTCTCTACCTGGTGGTTAAAGCACTAGTGTGCTAACTGAAAGATTGGTGGTTTGCATCCACCAGCTGCTGCAGGAGGTAGATGTGGCAGTGTGCTTCCTTAAGGATTTACAACCTTGGAAACCATATGGGGCAATTCTACTCTCTACTATATGGTCCCTATGAGTCGGAATTGACTTGACGGCAGTGGGTTTGGTTTTTTTGGTAATAAAAAGTGAGCCCTGGTGATAGAGTGGTTAAGCACTTGGCTACTAACTGAAAGGCTGGCAGTTCCATAGGAGAAAAACCTGGCAATCTGCTCCTGTGAAGAAAATCCTATCAGGCAGTTCTCTATTACATGAGATCTCTGTGAGTGAAGAAACTACTTTATAGCACCCAACAGCAACATAATAGAAATAGTCCCACTGTATCACTTCTTATTATACCAAGTTCTTTTTTAATTTGCTCACCTTTTACTAGTCTATGAATTGTTAAAGGACAGGCGATCCCATTGTGTTTCCGAGACTGTAAATATTTGTTGAAGTAGATTGCCCCATCTTCCTTCCTTGGAGCAGCTGGTGGGTTTAAACTGCTTATCTTCTGGTTAGCAGCCAAAGGCCTCATCCACTATGTCACCAATACTCCCTTAAAAGACAGGAGTCTTATTTATTCTTGTATTGCCAGTGCCTAATCAGTACCTGCCACATGAGTTAATTGATATCACATCATTTTATTCCTTAACTATTTAGCACTAATTTTAGTATTTAAATTTAAAAATAAAACAAAAGTCCTAGTACTACTGTTCTTTTCTTCTGTATATTTAAAATAGAGTAGAGAGCAAGTCTTGAGTTTTATAGTCATTACAAGCTAAAAGAATGGTTTGGCATCTTTGTCAACCTCTTGGTTTCAATCATTATGTGCTCAGAGAACTTTCTTTGGCTATTTATGCTGCAACAGCCCAAGAGCCACATCCTCTATTATACATATACTCAAGAAATTATTCTTTCATTCTTTGGGTCTCAGCTTTCTTCTGTAAATATTTTTTCTAATCATTTAAAAATTAGTGAAAGTAGTATGACTTTGTGGGGAATAGGGATGCCCCTAGGTTAGAAAAGAGACATTAGATTTACTCTGTTGCTTTGGGTTGATTGGTGATGAAGTGTTAACCTGTCCCACTAGGGGTCACTAAGTACCTTCTTTTAGAAGTAGAAAGAAATTAATACTGAAAAGTTCCTAACAGGTTTACACTAAAACTAGAGAATTGAAATATCTGTAGATGAATGTAAACGAAAGTAATTTTTGTTTCCTTTCCAAGGCCATGGAAATAGCATCTCAAAGGACTAGTGAAGAAAGGTCCAGCCAGGACCATGTGGATGAAGAAGTAAGATTTCTTGTCTGTTCGTATCTTTGAGAAATACTTGTATTTTCAAGGTCTTTTGTATATTGCCTTGGGCATGGACTTGATTTTAATAGATAAGTAGTATTTTTTAAATCATGATAATATTTCCTTGAGACTTAATATGTTATACAATTTAACTGAACCAAGTTGTATGATTTACATTTCATTATATCCTTTATTTATTAGCCTATTAGCCCATTGTCCTAGATGGAAAAAATTTTTTTAAAGCGCCTATTGGGATATAAGATTCCTGGGGTGGAGCTGTGGTTAAGGTATTCATTTACTAATGAAAAGGTCAGCAGTTCAAACCCACCCAGCTGGTTCACAAGAGAAAAATGAGGTAGTCTGCTTCTATAAAGATTTGCAGTCATGGACTCTAAGGGGCAATTCTACTCTGCCCTGTAGCGTACTTGAGTCAGAATCTATTTGATGGCAATAGGTTGGGTTTTGGTTTGGGTTTGGGTGGAATAAACGGTTAAGGGTTGGACTACCAACTGAGAGGTTGACAGTTTCAGCCCACCGAGATGCAACTTGAAAAAAAGACCTCGTGATCTACTTCCAGAAGATCACAGCCATGAAAACCTTTATGTTTTTTTCAAGATACATGATTTAGGAAGGAAAAGGCTATTTTTAATTTGCAAGTATGAATTTTTACGTGAATTTAAATGTTGATTTCAGTAGCATTGTAGATTTCAAATATTTATGCTTTAGTGAAAACTGAAGCTCTGGTGACATAGTGCCTAAGGCATTTGACTACTAACCAGAAGGCTGGTGGTTCAAACCCACCAGCCACTCCTCAGAAGGAAGGTTGGGCGATCTCGGAAACCCAAGGAAGGGTTGCTAAGAGTCAGAATTGACTCGATGACCGCGAGTTTGGTTTTGTTTTAGTGAAAAATAAAACTATTTTAATCTAAGGAGTCATAGTGTTGTTTTTTTTTGGTTGGTTTGTTTGTTTTGTTAAGTACCCATATTAGGCTTTTTCTTTTTTTCCTTCCTTTACAGCTATTAGTATGATAGAGGAATATGAGATGCTTATATTCATCAGTAATTCTCAACATCTTCTGACTATAGCAATATGGTAGATGATGTTCCCACATAAGAACATGTCAGGCATAGCCAAGGAGATGCTTGCTATCTTCAACTCCACCCCATTTTCTCCTACTCAGAAAAGCTTTTTTGAATGCAAATGAAGGAAAAGTGTTACTGTAAGGATAATTTTCAATCAGCTGTATTTTTTTTTCTGTAAAGTAAGTCTTTACAAAATATAAGTTTTTATATTTTGTATTATTATAAGTAACAAATTACTTCTGGCTTATACATACAGTAGTCATAACCCTAACGTATGCAAACAAGATGGCTGAGCATCAGTATGGTAGATTATGATGATTGGTGTTCCTTTGTGGGCTGAGGTGGTGAGGAAATATGAGAAATACGTGAACCACAGTCACAATCTTGCTTTTCCTTCTGTATCATGGTTAGGTGTTTAAGCAAGCATATATTCCTAGAACCTTGAATGAGGTGAAAAATTATGAGAGGGATCTGGATATAATGATAAAGTTGAAGGAAGAGGACATGGCCATGAATGCTCAACAAGATAATGTAAGTACTTCGGTTTACTCATAGCAAGTGAGTGTACAAAAGATTGAGACCATCCGAAATCTGTTTGGGCCTTGTAAGGTCCTCTAATCTTGAATCTTGGCTTCTAGTCTACTGAGATGGCTGGTTCCCTGATTTAACAAGTGCTCTGTACACATTGAATGCTAAGGTAAGTCATTGGTGTTTATGAGAGGAAATGAGTGACACATTTGAATTAGTTCAAAAGACTATACTTAAATAAAATGGGACACTTCTATAAAAATCTGGACTACAAACAGTTATCGTACTAGGTCCATTAACATACTTAGGAGGCTGGCAAACTTTCTGTTAAAGAGCTGGATGATAAATATGTATGGCTTTGCAGGTCCAGAGGTAAAATTAAGGCTATTGTGTACATGTTTATATAATGAAAACAACTTTGTACAAAATTTTTACTAAAGAAATTTAAACTGCTTTCATAATTGAGTACAGTGTTTTATAATGCAGGTCTTCTAATGGAAGAATAGAATTACTTCAGGGGGTGTGGGAAAGCATTTCACTTAATTGAGGTTCAAAGTTAGTGTTTCCTGTCAGATTCATTGTATATATTCATCTGTAAAAACCATTCTTAGATCATAGGCAGATAATCTGGTTGGATATGGTCTGCAGGCTGTGGTTGGCTGATCCCTAATACACTTGGTGGGTAAGAATAACACCTGTATTATGTACTTTCTGTATTATGAGATAAATTTTAAGTATGTTTATAATCCCAGAAGAGTTCATAAGATATATTAAAATATTTAAATATTGTAAAATGTATATTTCATTGTCTATTTTTTTGTTGATTCTTGCTTTTTTCTCTTTTTGGTTTTAAGATTCTATACCAGACTGTAACAGGATTGAAGAAAGATTTGTCAGGAGTTCAGAAGGTATGGAGAATGTGTGTTACTATTTATGTGAAAACTTTTTAAAGAGTATATAACTTTCTTAGTGAAAATTATTAGTAGAATTAACTTATCAAGAAGTATTTCATATTGGTATTAAATATTATAAATAAACAGTTCTTCCTCTTTTTTTGTGTGTTGTTTCTAATAAGAGTAAAATGTGGACATTTATGATTCATTTTTCATTTTATCTGAATTGTTTTGTTGTTGCAGGTGAGGCATTAATCCTGATCTTGTTTCTTGATGTTTTTACAACCAGCTTTATAAAACAATGTGGTGTGTAGTCCCACCATGTATATCATTTGCTGAGTTCATGAGTTCAGAGTCTTAGGGAGCTCGATTCCTCTAGAGTTGTTTTTTCTTATAACAATCCTGTTTTATTTTGCATTTTAAAAGGACAAGGATTAAGACATTCTAACTGAGCCAGTAATAAACAGTGTTATTGTTTATTTTTATTTTCTTACTTAAAGGCTTAAATGAAGGAGCATGGTTTGCTTTTTGAAAATACACTGTCTTCTCTGGGAAGAATTGAACTGGGGGGATTCCAGTGTTCAGTATTTCTGTAATAGTCATTTTAGAGCAGTTGTGTTTATTTATTTTTTTAACATAATATTTTATTGAGTTTTTGGTGGAAATTTACACAGCAAGTTAGGTTTTCATTTGGCAATTTCCACAAAAATTATTAACAACATTAGTTACATTTATCACAATGTGTCAACATTCTCTTTAATTGTATTCATTTTATTTCCTTTCCAGTACTCTAACTTTCTTATCCCCTTATCTTCTTGCCTTTGCTTTTGAGTAATTATTGACATCTGATCTCATTTTTTAAAGTAGGGCACTGATTTATTTTGTGTGCTACTCTTGTTATTTCACTAAAAATGATCTGGGGATAGGCTTGGTTGTAGGTTTAAAGAGTTTCTTGGACTGATAGTCTGGGGAGTCCTCTGTTTTCCACTGTTTCAGTTTGTCTTTTTTTTTTTTTAATATGAATTTGATTTCTGTTCTCCATTTTTATCCCATTCTATCTGGGACTAACTACTGTGCCACTGGTCAGAACAATCTTTAGTGGTAGCCAGGCACCATCTCGTTGGTCTCAGTGTAGATGAGGTTGTGACTAGTGTAGACTTGTTTCTTCTCTGTTCTTTTGGGTTTTTTTTTGTTTGTTTGTTTTTAAACTGTTCTGCTACTGGCAAGTAGAGACCCATAGTTGTGTCTTAAATGGCTGCTCTCAAGCGTTTAAAACCCCGAACGCTACTCACTTCACTAGCATGCAGATCATGACTTTTGTGAACTATGTTATGGCACTTGACTGAGATGTACCATGAGACTATGATCCTAAACCTACAAACCCAGAAAACCAATTTTGGAAGGTGTTTGGTTATTTCTGAGGAGCATTCATATTTGCGTCTCAGTGAATATATGTGCCTGCACTTACATATTTATATTTATACATCCCTGTAGATACTTCTGTCTGTTCTCATCTATGTATACATCTGTACCTACCTCTATACCAGTTTGCCTATATCCAACCACATGTATTCAAATACTGATATTACTTTGGTTGTGCTGTGCTCACTGTATCACTACATATGGTGTTACTTTTCCTATCAACAAAAATAAGTAGTCTCTGCTGTGTAAATCATACTTTCCCTATGCACTCCCTTCCCTGGTAGTCAGTAATGATTATCAGTCTCTATATTTATCTATTCTTATCTTCTGTTAAAAGAGGGATCATATAATATTTGTCCTTATATGCTTGACATATTTCACTTAGCATTAGTCTCTCCAGGTCCATCCATGTTGTAATGTGTTTGTGGACTCATCTTGTTTATGGTTGCTTTATTTTACTGGGTTTTTGGTGAAACTTTACATAGCAAATTAGACTTCTCACAATTTACTTATCCATTCATCTGCTCATGGACACTTCAGTTGTTTTATTTGCTATTGTGAATAAAGCACCAGTGAATATAGGTGTGCATATATGTTTGTTCGTGTCATCATTTTTGGGTCTCTAGAAGGCTGACGGTTCAAACCCACCAGCCACTCCTCGGAAGGAAGATGGGGCAAGTGATACTGCCTCAGACACCCAAGGAGGGGTCACTATGAGTCGGGTCTGTCTTGACAGCACATAACAACAACAACAACAGTATATATACTTAGGAGTGGGAGATAACATTCTCCATGGTGGTTGTGGTGGTTAACTTTGTGTGTCAACTTGGCTAGGCCTGGTTGAGTGGCTGGGCAGCTGGATGTAGTATTCCCCATGATGAGACTGCTAATCAACTCCATGGTGGAATCTACTGTGAGCACCTGAGTAGCTGCCTTAGGGCTGTGGTCTGCTTCTTGTATATAAGGAGAAGCCTTGGGGATAGTCTCTAGCCTATGGCATGCTTGAACTCTGCATGTACCCATGTCGTTCAGCACCCTGCCATGCTCTGCTGACCTTGGGACTTTCAAGAGACTTGACCTGCTGTGTGGTTTGGTAACATTGGGCCTGTGCCTTTTTACTTGTCAACCTTGGGTTTGTCAGCCTCATCAGCCAACAGCTGAGTGAAGAAAAGCCTCTAGCTTCAGTGGGCTGGGAGCAAGAGGCAGAGCTGCAATCCAAGGTTGAGGGGCTTTCACCCAGCCCCTAGAGCCTGGCACTTTGAACTTGGACTTAAAGCCTCCAAATTGTAAGAATAAACTCCTATTTGTTAAGGCCGTCCCATTTGTGGTATTTCTGTTAGAATAGCACTAGGTGACCAGAACAGTGGTTGTATCATTTAACAGTCCTGCCAGCAATGCATAAGGGTTCTAACACCCCACATCCTCCTCATCAATATTTGTTGTTACCTGTTTATTTTATCAGTGTCATTTTAGCCACTGTAAGATGGTATTTCATAGAAGTTTTGATGTATATCTCCTAATGATGTAAATAATTGTGACCATCTTTTCATGTTTGTTGGCTTCTTGGATGTCCTCTTTGGTGAAGGTTCTTTTCATGCCCTTATGTCTTATGGCAGTTGTTTTTTTAAATTCCAGAGCATGAAAATTCTATTGCAACTGGGTAGGGAATCTTTGTATAAGTGCTTTTATTAAGTTGTGATAAAATATATGACATAAAAACATTTTAACCATTATTAGTATACAAGTCAGTGCTATCTACTGGAACTAATTGAGAGGTTTAGCATTGTGGCAGGATATAAGATCAACATCCAAAAATCAGTTGGATTCCTCTACACTAGCAAAGAGATTGCTGAAAAAGAAATAAGGAAAGTCTCTTGGGTTTCTAGGTAGAGGATCATATCATCAGCAAATAGAGGTACTTTGACTTCTTCCTTACCAATTTGGATGCCTTTGATTTCCCTTTCTTGCCTTATGGCCCTGGCTAGAACTTCCAGTACAGTGTTGAATAGAAGTGGTGATAGCGGGCATCCTTGTCT